TGTCCCAAGATACAAAAGACCTTAAAACAATATTTCTGTGTAACGACCACAGGTCTTCATGAAGACATTTCCAGCATGACAGTCTTTAGAAATACCTGGCTTTCTTTGTGTGCCCTATCTAGGAGGACTGTCAAACCAGTCTGGGAAATTTCTAATACTAGCAAAGTGGTATCACCAGCCTTATAAGAAACTTAACAAAGTTTTACTTTGATTTAAATCAACCAAGAAGCAGTATAAAATAGTCAAGAGGGTAAATCACATTCACAGACTCAAACAGCACTCAGGATACTTTTTTAAACTAACCCTGACTTCTTTCCAATAAACTTTCCTTTCAAGCTAGTTCATGATCAATAACCACAATCTAGGAGCCCCTTGCAGTGGGACCAGGACTTACTTAGGGTGCATGAAATGGCTTTTTGGAACACACTCCTTAGAGTGGGATACCATGCTCAGCCTTGACACAGGGGCTCGGTCCTGCCTCAACTTAGTATGCCAGACTTTGTTGACTCCCCAAGGGAGGTCTTACCCTCCCTGAGGATTGGGTGGGAGGTGGGATTGAGGGAAATGGAGGTGTGGGAGAAGGGGAAGGAGGGGGATCTGGGATTGGTATATAAAATACAAAAAAAACCTTTTAGAATAAATAAATTAAAAATACAAAAACCTCTTAACTTGATACAAACCAGCATATTTTACCCCTTCACAAACATAGCTAAACAGATGAAATTATTATTTCCTTGCAGTATACATGCTAATTGGATTTAAGCTAAAATTATATTAAATATTGAGTTTTTGTTGTAGAATATTCTAAGAAATTGTAATTGGTTGCTATAGATGCTGAAAGTTTTTTGTAGCAAAATTTATGAAAATGATCCCAGGCTGGGCGGTGGTGGCACATGCCTTTAATCCCAGCACTTGGGAGGCAGAGCCAGGCGGATCTCCGTGAGATTGAGGCCAGCCTGGACTAACAAGTGAGTTCCAGGAAAGGCGCAAAGCTACAAAGAGAAACCCTGTCTCAAAAAAAAAAAAAAAAAAGATCCCTTTGTTCAACCCCAGGAAAAAAAATGACAAACTTTTGGCTACGTTTCAGTGACTTGATAGCCTCACCTGTAGAGGCAGGTCCCATTTTTAAACAAAAGTTATCGGCAATATGGCTAATTCACAATTTAGTCATATCTCTATGAATTTTAATTTAGACATAAGCCTTACTTTTGACTTAAGCAAAGAGTCATGCATGCACACACATAAATAAAAATTTGAAGATGTTTGATTAACTTAGAAAAATCAAGAAATGCTTCTACTCCAAAATTAACCTTAATATATTGTCTTAATATCAATACAATGTTGAATAATTCTGAATTGATCCACTCTAAATTTTTTTTAAGCCAATATGACTCAGCAATGAGGAATGAACAATTTTTCTGATTGCAAAAAAATAAATCTTTCTGCACTTAAGTTAATTTTTATCAAGTTATCTTATTAATTAATAAAACAATACATGCTTTATGGGATGGAATATATCTCAAATGAAAATGCCTTGGCCATACAATTTTAAAACAATATTGAAGTATTTCCAACCAAAAATGGTTGAAAGTTTGTTTGGAGTTGGGGATATCCTAAGGTCTTCCTTGATATAGTCTTTTGTATTCATAATCAATTATATACTCTCAAAGAACAATTTTCATAATTATTGTCATAATTGCAGTTATAGTTTAATGTAATTAGGAATTAGTGTCTTTAATGATAATCATCTAAACTGTAAAACATTATAAATATATGTTGAGTGAATGAATGATTACACAAATAAATTTTTATATTTAACATTTCAAAAAATTTCAAAAGATAGCTATCTCTAGTTCATTAGATGTTATTAATAGATAGGATTTAATCCCGAAGACAGCAGTTCAATCAATAAGTTAAATTTTTATTTTGCTCTTTCACTCATCAAATCATTGAAATGCTTTTGTTCACTTGAATTTTTTAAAATATCAAAGTTAACATGTTCTTACACATAATTTGGCCTATTAGCCATTTGTGTTTTGAGTCTGCTTAGTTTTCAATGGGTACCTAACATTGTCCATTAAATGGTCCTCATTTAAGACTATCTTCCCTGTCTCGAAAAATAAAAACAAACAAACAAACAAACAAAAAACTAATTACTTTAGGACTGGAGAGAGAGAACTCCAAAATTACAGTCCCTACTTTTCTGGTGGTGGGCCAGGAGTCAGTTCTCAGTACCTACTTCAGATGGCTCACATTGTATGCTGGCCCAAATCCAAGGGTCCAAACACTCTCTTCTGGATTCACAGGGCACCTTCACTCAAATGCACCCAGCACATAGAGACACACATGCATGCACATAATTTTGTAAATGACTTTAAATTATTTTCTTTGGTAAAAATGATGCCATAACACACACATTTACTCTTCTTGCTTATGAAACTTTATTATTATTTAATTTTATAAGTTATCATCAAAACTAACTCTTTACATAGTATTTGTTTTGCTAAATACAATATGACTTGGCATTTAACTAGTTTACTTTGCCATCAAGCACTATACATTTCTACAAATGATTTGTGAAAATACTATTTGTTTTTGAAACTGGTTGTTCCAATTTGTAGTATAAAGACTTTTTTTGTTCTTTCTTTTTTTTCACTTTTTTTAGATAAAAGAGAAATTGACAATTACAAAAATTGTCAATTTTGCAGTAATTTTATAAAGCTTACCTTGATCATATATTTTTACTAAATTATAGGAAACATTAATACATTTTCATATACATAACTTTAATTAATAACTTTAATACATGATCATCAGTATTTTAATTCCATCATTTTTCTGGAAATTATCAAAATCAATGCTACATTTGATATGCAAATTACAGAAATAATTAAACCAGTTTTATTTTGTTTTTAAACTTTTTATAATAATAACAAAAATAGTCTTTTTTATTATAATTTTATTTATTCTTTAGTTGCGGTATTGTAATGCATTTTTTTATTGACTCTTTGGGAATTTGACATCATGTACCCCAGTCCACTCATTTCCCAGTTCTTCCATATCCACCTCTCACCATTGTAACCTCCCCACAAAAGGAAGGAAAACTTAAAATTAGAAAGAAAAACAAACAAACAAACAAACAAACAAACAAACAAATCATCTTACCCAGGACCAGATTCAGGGCTTTGAGTTGGCCTACCACATCACCCTCATCTATGACCTGTTAGAACACCTGAAGGGGCAGGTCTGGAATCAGAACCTCCTCTCATATGAGTCATGGTTGTCACGTCCCCAGGTCCCCCAAACTGGATCCACTCTGCTCCTCCATCTTTCCTGCCTCTCCATCACATGCTCATTTGTAGTTAGTGGCGTTGGAAGCTTGGGTGTGTCACGCAGTACACCCTTTGTCCCAAACAGCTTTACTTGCAAATGTGCATTGCAATGAGTCATTGGTCTGTTTCAAGGCCTCTGGCTTCTGCTCCACCATCAATATTGGATCCTCATTGAGACTACTCTTGATTATCCTGTTGTTGCTCAGAGTTATGGAGATCCTGTAGCGGTGGTTCTTCAGGACCTGCCCCTTCAGGTGTTCTAACAGGTCATAGATGAGGGTGATGTGGTAGGCCAACTCAAAGCCCTGAATCTGGTCCTGGGTAGTAGCTGAGTTGGTCCGTCCGGGTCTCCCTCACCCACAGCACAAGGAGAGGGGCCAGCTCTCCTGCAGCCCACGACAGGCAAGGTCAGCCCAGCACATCACTTAGACATCAACATGGCTTCAGGTGGCAACCGAGACCTCAGACAACTGCATGGCCTTTGGAGCTAACATGGGCCTCGGACATCAGCACAGACCCCAGCTGCAGTAGGACCACAGACCCAGACCTGGCCCTTGGTGGTAGCCCAGGCCCAGATGTCACCATGGTTCCAGGTGGCAGTGCAGGCCACTCAGATCAGTATGGCCCACAGCAGCAGCCTGGGACCTGACATCACCATGACCTCAGGTGGCTGCACATGTTCCTAATATCAGATGGATCCTCACCTCCAGCGAGTCTCCAGTTCCACCTCTCTCCACAGTGCATGAAACGCTCCACTTCTCTTTCTTTCCCGTATCTCCATTGAATACATCATCTTTCCTGTATCCCCATCACCTATTTGTTCATTGCAGTGACCCACTCTCCTGGGCCACAGGGCCATGGCGGGTGCTTGGGTGTATTCCGGCTGTTCCGGGCTCTATGTAATGCATTTTGACAAACATTTACCCCTGTGTCTCCTTTCCAGTTACTGCACTATTCCATTACCACATCCCCCTCCTGATTTCATGTGGTCTTCTTTTTTTAACTCACTGAATTAACTTCATGTAATTGTTTTTATCTCAATTTTATACACACATACAATGAAATATGATCATAACCACTATTTCTCCCCTTTTTCTTCCCTCCTTCAATGCCCTTCCAACTTCATGTCTTTTTTGTTTCCTTCCTCTCTTGTCTCTCTCTCCCTCCCTCTCTCTGTCTCTCTTCACAACTCATCAAGTCCAATTAGGGCTGTCCATATGTGCACGGGGATGTGTCATCCATTGGAGCTTGGGAAACCTGTCTGTGACCACTCCTTCAGGAAAAGAATGAACACTATGTATTAGATAATAAGAATGGACCATCAACAGAGTTAAGTAAAATGATGTTAAATAAAGCAAGTTGTCAAATCGCCTATGAAGGATGATGATATTTAAACTTAAAAGATACTCAAAAGAATTCATTGAATTCTCTGAGAATACATCCACATTTGGAAAAATCATATATGCATGAGAATATTATTCATTTGCTTCAATTAGTGGTTCATTTTCAGTTGGAAAAACAACTCAGTGGAAACAGGTATATAGAAGCTTCCAATTTATCTGCAACAATTTACTTAAAATAATGAAATGTTGAAAATTTGTTATAAATTTATAATTACTCCCATTACTGGGATCACAATAATTTTCAATAATTGAAAGTGAAGTAAGAGTACTCACTTTAGCAGCACATATACTAAATTTGGAACGATAAAGAAAAGATTATCACAGCCCCTTTGCAAAGATGATACATTAATTTGTGACACATTCCATATTTTTGTTCAGTGCCAAATGGTCAGCCCTCAAAACATAATACAAGTAATAGTATTTGGACTGAGCAGATTACATTTAAGAATATGTATGTATGTACATATATGTTTGCAATAATAATTAACAGAAAAAGAGGCCATGAAAGAGAGAGTGTGTGTATGTGGGTGTGAGGGGGGTAATATGGGTTTGGAGAGAGAGAAGGTAAGGGAGAAATGTTGTCTTATATTACAATTTCAAAAATAAAAAAAAGCAAAAAATAAATTAAACATTGATAAATGTATTTTTAAATATATTAAAATATATTATATTGTATTAAAAATAAAATAATAAGGGCAAGGGTAATGGGGCAAGGGAGAATATGTTCAACATATGCTATATAACTGTAAGAAGATTGAGCATGATATAACCAATGAAGTAAATAAGTTCAGGGAGTATGTGAATGTAGGGATGTCTCAGACATTGACTGATGGGAAGCCCTTTGCATAGATAGTGCATCGAAGTTCAAGAGCTTAGCTAAAGTGATCAAAAGACCTCATTCTCATCCAAATCTAGAGTTCAAGAATGAAAATTTGGGTTTTGGGATGAACCTTCTGAGAAAGGATTTCAGTCTAAGAGTAACCAGGGTATTAGGGATTCATGTATAAAAACATTAAACCAAAGTGTACCTGCTAAAATTGAAGTCTGGGGTCAGGCATTACGTTTGGCCCCAGAAATTCTAGAGCAATGTTTCCTAAAGAACTTGGGCAGGTCCCACTTTAGTCATCATTCTCCTGTAGCCTTAGTTTCTTCTTTGTACAGTTGAGGGGAAGATGGTCCCTACTTCACAGGCAGGCCTTAAATATTAGTGATCACTTTCAAGAGCTTAGAACAATGCCCCATACCAGGACACCTCACAGTTAAGGGTGACAGAAATGCTAAAATAAAAAAAATAAATAGCACCGAGGCTAACAGAAGTATTGTTCTGTGCCCATGCTGATGTATTTTCCTCCAATAAATTAATTGTCTCATTTGGCAAGAACAGCCTGGTCCTGTGCCAAAGCATTAGTTGACCTACACAGCCCTTTCTCTAAAAACTCCAGAATTTATCTCATTTGAGTGTGTTGACAAGCACTGAAAGATGAAAGGCTTCTCTTTTTCTCACTTTTTTCATAGCAACACTCATTGGCTGCTCTGCCCTGGCTGAGACAGAGCAATGGACTGTACCAGGAAATGGGGAAAGTTTCAGAATAAGCAGGTGTGAGTCATTTGTAATTTATCAAGGTTTGAGCATTTCAGTTTTCACATCAAAACAAAACCTTTGGTTGATGTAATTGAGAAAGTTCATTTTATGAACATGTGTTTTCACCATTATACAATCTAAACAACTTACCTTGAAAAAGTATTGTAAATACTATGCAACCTCTGTTCTCATCAAAATATAAATAGTATTTCCTTCTAAAGTTCAAAATAGCTACTTAACTACTAACATCACTACCTAAAAATCTCATTATATTATTTTTCCATGTTTAATAGAAGCCCACGGTATTAACTCAAATGTCATGGTTTACTAAATAATCTCTTCTACCATAATCTCTTCTATACATAATCTAAATATCTTCATGTATTATCATCCTTCAGCTTAAAGCGTGTCATTCAGAGAAATATTTTAAACCTATCTATTTAGAAACCCATAGAACACTCCAGAAGCCCCAAGGGTGTTGAATGATGCTACAGGGCTTGAATTCATTAATGTCATTGCAGGAAACTAGTAAAACAATTCATCATTTAAAACACATTGTTTTTTTGTCTGTTTTTAATCTAATATTCTGAGTGTGGCTGCATATGTCGTTGTCAACTATAACACTCATATCTAGCACAAATCCTGTAGCTGAGAGCCCTTGGGAACTGGAAGATTCATTTGAGCTGAACTATACTAAGTAAGCCTAACCTGGATGTGAATAAAATAGATGTGTTTCAGGAGCAGCAGAAAACAGCTGCATATAAAATTTCAGGGAATCATTTGTTTTGCCTGAAATCGCAAATAGTTTCATTTTTTATATCTCAATACTTAGATGCTGAACCATAAGATAAATGATCAAGTTGTTTCTCTCATCTTGCTGATAGTGGGAGGAGAGAAATAAGTTCTTGGTGCTAAGCCCTGTTTGATTGCTCTGAAATGGTTGAATACCAACAGTATTTATTTAGTAGGCTGCAGTATGGCTGATCAGCCACTCTGTTCGTTCACTGAGTTAAACAACAAGGACTCAACATCAAACTAACTTTTTTCATTAGACATTTATGTTTAAGATAAAACTTATTCTGTGTGCTTCTGCATAGTGTCACACTAAACATCACCCAATTCCCATCTCTAGGAAAATAACACACAGAGCTGAACTGAGCAACTGGATTATCCTATCCTCTCGACATTGGTCTAGATCAGAGTTGCCCATGCTTCAGAACATCAGTGTTAGGAGACTATCCTTGTAGAAACAAGTAGATGGATGCTGGTGGTTTTCCTCCTCATAAGGAAATCTGAGCAAGAGCTTCACGTGGTGACGAGGTAAGGGTGAGACAGGTTAGCTGAATGCTTTACAGTAAAGTACAGCTAAGAATAGATAGGTTTAAAGGAGGATAGACGTAAGGCTGTTTTATGAGTCTCTAACATTAAGTATCAGTTGATGAAATAAGAAGGAAGGAAATAGGATCCCTAATGACAACACAATGATTCTATGCAGACGTATGGGTGGGGTCATAGATGAGACTGGCCTGCTTTATGATTCTTCTCAGACTAGCCCTGCTTATGCAGCTGACAGGCATGTACCTGAAAGGTGTTTTTAATCTGCATTGTTGTTGCTGAGGCATGTTCCACAGGGAAGTGAGAGAAGAAGAACAGCTCCCGCATGGCTGGCTGTTCTCAGACAAAGGACTGAGCTTAACCTTGAAGGTTTCCTGGCAGTTGGCATCGCTACGTTTTCGGGGTCCACCTGAGGTATACTTCAAATATGTAATGTGAATAAAGCTAAAGTGGTGGAGCCCCTGAACATGTCCTCAACTTGGGATTTGTGATAAAAATGGGAAACAATGAAAGTATGATATAAAGCAACAAGAATTAAATATTGATGTTGGGTGGAGGCATCGGGACAAAAAAAAAGTATTAATTGACAAATACCTTTCCAAAGTTACCCTTCAGAATTTGACAGTTTTCCACTTGATGCTCAGTGTACAGTCCATAGAGAGTGAATGGCTAATTGTTGAATATTGGGATCAAGCTGGATTGTGTTGACGTCTCAGCTCTACCAGCTGACATCTTGGACAGGTTATTTAAATCTTGAAGTCCACTTTCATTAGTCTTTATGTTTATTTATTTTTTAGTTGTATGTATCTGTGTGTGTGGATATGTGTATAAGAGTATAGGTATCTGCAGAAGTCAGAGGAGATCATCGGACTGTCTACAGCTGGAGTTACAAGTGGTCAAGAGCTGCTAATGTCAGCGTTGTTAAGCAAATTCCAGTCCTCGGCAAGAGCAGTGTGCTCTGTTAGCAGCTGAGCCTTCTCTCCAGTCCTTCTAAACTTACCTTCTTTGAAAGAGTAAGATTTAATGATGGAGTGAATAATTGAGATTTTGATGAGAACTAAATGGAATGATGAATATAAAGTACTTGATGATGAGAAAAGGCTCAATACATTGTGGCTATTATTTTACAAAAATAAAGGTTAAAAAATACAAAGAGAAGACATGATATAGCTACCTGCTTTCAATCGTTTACCTACAATATTCAATGTAGAATGTTATTTCAGTGACTTGGAAGATCAAGACCCCATTATCATAAGTCAGAATTCCATTTCTTCTGAACTTAAGGAACTCTTCCCACGTCAACCAACATTTTGTTAAAACATAAACATTTTATGTTTTTGATGTTTTATCTTTATCAGAGAAAATGCAATGTTACTAGTTGTCTTCAATGTGATAGACATAAGCATTGTTATCATTTGGGTTCTCCAGGTTAAGCAGCCTTTTAAAAGTTTTCTTCACGGATGCTATTTCTTTTGTTTTCTCATTGTTACTGCAAAGTCAATGCTTATGAATCAAATCATGATGAGGGCTTCTGGGCAGCTGTGACCTAGACAGTGTTCTTATCACTTGCTCCAGTTGAGAGCATGTGTGCCAGCGGCATCTGTAACGGTCTTGGAACTACAGTACACTAGAAAAAGGAGATGTGTGTATTTATCACATTTCTCTTCTCTGCTCACAGGAAGCAGACTTCAAAAATCCATAGACTAATGAATCAAGTTCTAGCCAACAATTAGTTTTGCACTGGAATGAGGAATATTTGGGCATTAAAATATCAATTAAGCAGAAAGTATTGTATGGGATAAAACTGAAATTATTAAAAAGAAAATATTTTTGCTCTATCCAAATGAATCATGATACCTCAATCCTCAATAAAAAACTGAACTAGGTAAAACCTCTGGCCCACTGTGTCCTGACTCAGCAACATGGAGCAATTTATTGATGGCTGCTATTGGCTTCACGCCTTCCTTCATTGCCACAGAGCTCCTATCAGCAGAAGCTACACATAAATCTCCAGATTTATTATGTGTTAGTAGCTAAGACTGGCAACTGCTTTTGAATAAAAAACAGCATTAATAAAAGACCGTTCCCTGACCTTCCAGAATTAGGGTGTTAGTACATTGAGAAACTAGTTCCTAAGAAGTGATATGGATGGGAACTTTCCTCCAGCACACTGATGAGAATCATGATCTGCCCATAGTATCCCATTTTACAAGCACAGGAGGGGAAGGACCTGAATAGAAGGAAGTAAAGGACATGGTGTTGGAAAAAAAAAAAAAAGGTAACAGAGCATCAGACACTTCTGAATACTTAAATCTAAATGAAAATTTAGATTTATTTATAACCTGATTCTAAGAAATAGTGAGCACTCATGCATTTTACCTGTATTAACCAGTTGATAAGGTGCACACTGAGCATTTTACTTTAAAACAAATACACCGAGTCCAAAGAAGACACA